TCTTTTAAATCATTCTGCTAAGCTGTAGCCAACACCGATTCAACCTTTGTTTTTATTACTCCCTCATTTTCATTAGATATAAGACTTATTTCTGCCACTTCCTTCCAAGTGTATTTTTTTTCGTCTTCATAATTTGACTGTTCAGTTTTTTTCTTTCCACTTTATTTGAGTCTGTTTTTTTCTAAAATCTGATATAGTTCTGCTCTTTTATCTGAAAATATGTGTCATCAAAGTAATCATCGTTATCAGAAATGTAATATTCTTCATCGGAATTTTGTGTTTTCAGTCTTTAGTTTATAAATCCCTCTTCTATATTGATTCCTCTGATGTTTTAAAATCTGCGCATTTTCTGCTGAAAGCACTTCTTCATGTTTCGATTCTTCTTTGCCTTTTTTTCTTTCTCTCTCTCCACTGCTTTCTAATATTTTCCTGCACAGACGAAGAATATTCTGCTATTTTCTTTCTATTTCGTTTTCTTCTCTCAGTGTTTTTTCTCTTCTGTGTTAATAAATTTTCTGGATTTGTTTCTTTCAACCTTTCTTGGTAAAGCTCCTATTTTTCAGCAGGTGTTAGTGGCATCTTCAAAAAAAAATGCTATATAAAACATGCTATGTAACGCGTAGTGGGGGCCAGTTTACCATATAAAAGTTGCGGATAAGCGTTGCATGCAGCTGGCTCAGGATCGCGTGTTTTGGGGAAGAGCTTGGGGAGGTCTTTTTTATAGGATAAGGGTGACAAGCGAGCACGCAGTCCACCTGATGGTAAGTGGTTGCTGTGGCCCATAGAAACGTACATCTATACTCGTTTTCGAAGAAAAATGCAGATGCGTTGTCATCCTTGAAGACTAAGAAGGAATGCCTTTTTTCCAGTAAAAGGGGCTCCGGTTCTCTACACTCATCAAACGAAACACAGCAGCATTAAGCTGCTTTTTTACGCCGGTATTCTGTGAGAGCGTGGTACTTCCCCGTTCGAGTCCACCCATTCGTACTACAACTATACTATTAATATAGCTATAGCATGGCTCTACCACATATGAAAACAGTGTACTTTATCCAGCAGCGTACATCTCAGAGATTGATAATGTAAATATTGCAATGTGCACTAAGCTTTACACTTTTCACGTGTGTTACGTCACACAAATTCGTATCACACGCAACACTTGAGCAAACACGCGTGAATACCATGACCTAAAAGTCGTGTAGAAAAATTAAATGCAATGCAAAGCAGTGAAATATTACATTATTTTTAATAATTTACATATCCCTCTTAATTGGCTTTAACCTTAGCAAAAAAAATGTTATTACTTACCATGCAAAATTTCTTCCGAAAAGTCGCTAAAATCCAATTACGAAAAATAACACACACACGAGTACTGTCTTTTCCAAAAACGAAGATGTCTGACATAACACTGACATTCCATATTGAAAGTAGTAATGTTGCCTTTACAAAATAAACCATCATACGTGTTGCTATAACCTATTAGAAAAAATCTACCATGTAGCAAATTGTTCGTAACACACGGTAAATATCATTGGAACATTTGTTTTTTTAATCATAGTTTTGTCATTTTTTGAATAACTTATTATGTCTACTATTGGGATAGTAGTTTTATTCCCATACATTTGAGTAATTACTAAGATATCACGATAAAGAGCACACACACGGTGGAAAACAAAAAAGAAGATTTTATTTTGAGTGGACACATTTTATTTTCCTATGAAACAAGAAGTAAGCATTTTGTTGTTATTGCTTTATTTTTCGTTAAATTCTAATAAAATAACAATTTAAATGGCTTGATATTAACAAGTGAATAATATCGAACACAGGAAACAAAAACATTTATTTTTTCAGAACTTCCGAAATAGTTACTGACACAGGCTGACGTTGTTCTGCCCTTTCCGACGACCATTTGCTTTCCTAAAAAAACTCCTGAGATTAGCAACAGAAAAATTGAGGGTCACTTATCGGGATAAAAACTATACTATCTCTCAAGTTGGACCAAACTGCACACAGTGTGCAAAATTTCATTGAAATCAGTTCAGTAGCATCATCGCGGACAAACAATGTGACACGTAATTTTTATATATAAAGATATATACTATATATGTATACTACTGGATCCTATTGCATATTAATTCCTGTAAAATATTGACGTATGTGTATTTTTATATTATAAAGGAAGGGTGGTTTCTGCAAGTTAATATTATTTTCACCTCTCTTTTCAATTTCTGCGAAATCCGACACTCGGCTTACATGTTCCAGGAAACATGGTAAAAAGTAACAAAAGCGACAGTTACGCTAATTGTTGTTAAAAGGGACAAAAATAACCTTTTCGCTATAGATAAGCCGTTATTCATTTGAGTCTTCATTGTATGTTGGTTAAAAATAGCCCAGTTTTATCTTAAAGTGATTGTTAATTACGAACAGGGCAATTACGCGTCTATAATTAACGGGGCCGGTTTATTTCTGGGAGCAAATGATACTGCCCCTCGTGCAAGTAGTTTAAACAGCAGGAGCAGAAGATATGGATACGATACGTGCTGTACTATCACAAAGCTTGTAAAGTATTGCGAAATATGCTGAGCGCGGAATGCTAATTAATACGTTTTATGTCGAGACTGTATTTTTATGATAAGTTGGTTTTTAATAATTAATAAATATTTTAACTTAGACCTAAATAATATTTAATAAATAATATTTAATGTATGCGTATATTTTTATCGTTATTTTTATCCAATAGACTCTGAATCTCTTTATTCCTACTGTATTTTTTAAATTAACGGACTTTCGTTATTAATAATGAAAATATTTAATAAAATATTTAACACGTCATCTCTTATTGCACCTTACCTTTATTTAAACAACAGAAAACAATTTATTTTATTACTTGGACAATATACTAACTAAATGGTATACCATTTTTTATACGTCGTAGAACCATGCTGCAGCTATATTAGTAGTATAGTTGTAGCACGAATGGGTCGGCTCGACTGGGGAAGGACCACGCTCTCACAGAATACCAGCGTAAATAGCAGCTTAACACTGCTGTGTTTCGTATAGTGAGTGTAGAGAACCGGAGACCCATTTTACTGGAAAAGGGGCATTCCATCTTAGTCCACACGGGTGACGACGTCTATGGGTCACAGCAACCACTTACTATCAGGTGGACTATGTGCTCGTTTGTCACCTTATATTATAAAAAAATCCATTTGTGCAGCACTTGACAATGGTTCAGATAGAACACTTAGATATTTGCCTATATTACAATATTAATGTGAGTTTTAGCGACCAATTACAGTACTTGCTTGATGGGTCTTGGGACATTCCACAAGGAAGTGTTGTATATCTTCTATTGTATTGTATGTTTCGCAATTTGGAGATTGTTTCTTTTGCATCACATAAGTAAACTTGTTGCACGGAATTTGTCTAGAACGAAGTCGCATTGTTATTACAACAGATTTTCTATTCAATAGACATTCATTAAACCAATGTGCTTTCGATGGTTGACTCTGGACCATATCCGTTTTCTTGCGACCTTCTATCAAAATATTATTTCTAAAGTGTGTTACATTTCTATTTATATTTGAATAAAATTTCTGTATAATCCGAATTATTGTTATATTCTCTTCCTTGTGTATTGCCTTGTAGACCGATGTGTGATGGTACCCACTGAAAAACAAAATTACGATTTAACATTGTAGTTTAAATATTGCACTTAATATAGAGTATGCTATCGATACACATCTGCGACTAGCGGCGCGTCGAGCAATGTGTTGAAAAGCACTTTTGCTATCAGTTGGTATGACTATTTTTTGAAAATTTGTTGTACTAACATATAATAGGGCGTTATTCATAGCAATTAATTTAGCTGACATTATCGTAATTTTATTAAGCATACTATATTTGAGTATAATGAGTAAAGTGCTATTCATAGTGAGTAGAGTGTACTGTACATGAGGTATGTAGAAAGTTTGCAAAAACAAAGTAAGCTAGCATATAACAACTGATTCATCATCATCACCCACATCATCATCATTACAGCCCTTACACCCTTTACAAACCACTGCTGAGTATAGGCCTTCCCAAGGAATGCCACAAAGCACTGTCCTGACCCACATGAACAACTGATTACCTACAATAAATGCAATATTATTTTTAAAATATTTTTACGTTAATTTTTCCTCACCGTGTAGTGGCGGGTAAGAATACCCACTACCCGTGAGTGTCGTAAGAGGCGACTGAGGGAAACTGAGGCAGAAGATGGGGACATCATCTTTCTGATAACAGCAAAAAGCAATAAATAACCGGCCAAGTGCGAGTGGTAGTTTTAATTTTTAATTTATTTTAATTTTTATTATTTGTTGTTATAGCTGCAACAGAAATACACATTTTGTAAATACACCTATTACAATTGAAGGTGAAATACGAGCACAAAATCCACTTGATGGCGAGGATACTGTGTCCCTTAGATTCCTACATCATCTTCTATTTAGTGTCAATATGCAAATAAATGTATTTCCTCTCAAATCTGAGACGAGGTGCCTCGTTTCCAGTAGTAAGAGTCTCCGGTTCTCTACATTCACCATACGGAATACAGCAGCATTACTCTGCTATTTCACGTTGGTATTCTGTGCAAACGTGGTCCTTTCCCGGTCGAACGAAGCAGTCATGATACACTGCAAGGTGACTATGCACATGAGATACAGTAGCCGTTTAAAAATGCTATGTTTGGCCAATAAAATATAATAAAAGAAATGAATTTCGGTTCATTAACTACAATTGAAAATGATTGAAAATAATCTATATTGAACTCGTATAGCTTTTCACTGTTTTCTCAAAACGACTAAACCTATTTAAGCAATTATTTTATTAAATACTTAGGGGTTAGTGGTGGTGACGTAAAATATTTTAATGTAATTATTTAGACCACTTTATATCTATTACCTTTTGAAATCAGTTTGTACTTTCTATTAAAAGTTGAATTATTGTTATTATTACAGAAGAGACAGCGCTGTCGGAAGCACAAGTCAAACGACCTATAGAGGTAAAATGCTTAGCCGGCACAGAATGGGAAAGCAATTGCCACCAATGTCGGTGCCTTCCTTTTGGAATTGCACTGTGTCACAAGCTGGAACCCTGTGATACAAGTCCCTCCGGTAAGTTGACACTCTAACTTCTGTTCTTGAATGACATGACTTGACTGCCACGTTGATCTGGGTTTTTAGGTCAAGAAATTATTCTCAGAGTCAGAAAATTGGTGGTGTTTTACCGCCTTGCCTCGGAAAGCACGTAAGGACGTTTGTCCTGCGCGTTTTCTCTCACCGGTCATATCGGATGGCCGTTCCATCGGAGTATTAAGGTGGTGCACCACCAACACTTGCGCAAACACTCATGTACTGAAACTGCTTGCCATAACGTAAATTCGAATTGCATTATTATCTCGTGTTGACCGACTGTTACTGCTGCCGTTTTGAGTAAACTTAACACTGAATATGTTTGAAAATATCTAATACAGAGACAGTCGTGTTGATTACGGGTAAAGTGCACTGCATCCAGCGAAACAATTCCTAAACATTTAATTTTCTCTTTACAGCGGAACCAATAACGTGCAAGCCCAACACAGTGTTCCACCGGGATTGCAATAGTTGCTTGTGTCTCGCCAATGGAGACGTTAAATGTTCCACTAACACATGTCAGCGGTCTGACAGTGAGTATTTAAATAACTACTTAGCATGCCTTGCAGTCTTTTTTTTGCAGAAAACTGCGGCCAATAACTTATTTTTAATTATTGGTCGCAAAAACATATTATCGCATTAGCTTAAGAAAATACGAAATACATAATATGTCAAATTTGGTAGACTCGTTTGTCACCTATATGTATTTCATTTAAAAATGTCTTTGATTTAAAATGAATACGACAGTAAACTATAATGTCCATTAATATTTATAATATTAAGTATTACTATATAGTAATACTTAATATTATAAATATTAATGGACACTGGACACGTCTATGTGGCTGGTTATGTGGAAGACTTTTTTTTATAGAATAAAGGTGACAAACAAGCACACAGTCCACTTGATTGTTGATACTGTGGCTCATATATTCTGAGGCCTAAAATGGAATGCCTTATTACCAGTAAAAAGGGTCTTCGGATTTCTACACTCACTCTAAAAAAAAAAATTTAAAAAATATAGATATTCTGTGAGAGCGTGATCCTTCCCCGGCCAAGCTAACACATTTGTGATACAAGAATACCACGTATATAAAACAACTACGTTCACACATACCACACCCGGAACTCATATATTGTGACGTCTTCTATACATTTTATATAGGTACGACTGAATACCGTAACACACAAGTCATGCATTTGGTGTGCTCCGAGCTTTATGCTCGCCTTTAAAGGAAATGCTAAAGAATTATTGCATAATATGTAACTGTCACTAAATATTTCATTAATACATTAAGGCGACACATCAAAAACCGCTGAAGCGGGCTATCGCCCGCGAGGTAAACATAATTTCTATAAGAACTTCAAAAACTCCGTCATAAGGTCTAAAATTGCGTAGCGCTCGTGACGATTAAGACCGCTTAGAAATCGCTTAGAATCTTAAACTATTTTTAAAAAATTATTGATTTTAGTAATAAAATAATGAGCAAGAAAACTACGAATATTGATGTTATGAATGTGTTTGAGTGGTTCCCAATTTGAACTTACAACGAATCGTTGTAATTTCAACTATAGTGATTTTTTAGAGGTGTTTTCGCAAATAATTATGAACGAGTCAAAATTTTACAATCGTGTTTTTTAAACAAGCAAATTCAAGATAAAGACATGAATTTACCTATATCAAAATTCCAGTTTCGTTAGTCGTGTCATACTCCTATACTATTCTATGAAAGGAGCTGCATTTTTTCGCAGTGTCGCCTTAACGTTGCCATGAGAGGTCCACTATACCTTCACCCCGTGGATAAAGTAAAAGGTGACAGGAAAACTGAAACAGGAGACGGCCAGCAGCATCTTCCAGAATATAGCCCAAAATAATAAGAAATACGGTTGCCAACCCGCATGTCAAGCGTGACAGCGATGGCAAATATGAGAGAGAATCTTTTGCCAAGGTTCAGCCGTGGTCTTTTAATAGGCTATAATGAATAATTGAATGAATTAATGAATATAAACCTTAACATTGTTAATCTAAGGTCTATCAAATTCGTTGGTACATCTATATCTATACTATAAACAAATAAATAAAATTGAAGTGTCTGTTTGTAATGTCATAATAACAGCTATTTACTAAATGTATATGAAAGTAGGTATATACGGTACTTATAACAAAAACACGATTTATAAAATTTTTGTCTGTCTGTCTGTCTGTTTGTTCTGGCTAATCTCTGAAATGGCTGGACTGAGACGGTACTTTCACTGGCAGATAGCTAACGTTATAAGGAGTAACTTAGGCTAATTTTATTGTAGAAAAGGAATTAGGGTTATGCGCAAAAAAAACCATAAAGTCCAATCGTTATAAATTCCACGCTGGCGAAGTTGCGGGGAATAGCTAGTCTAACCTTAAAATCATAAATGTCTTTACTCTAAGCCGAAAATAAACCTCTGATCGAACTTCATATTAGACATGGAACGAGTAGTGATTCGCCGAGTACTCGGCCTAGATTAGGCCGAGTACTCTGCCGAATACTCGGCTTTAAAAAAAACGCGGTAGCGGGCGGCGTGCGGTTATTTCCCTTACAAACTAGACCCAAATAGGGCCGAAAAACTAGTGTTTTTACATCACAATCTTCCTCTCTCAAATTTTAAATATTAGTAATAATTGTTCAGTAATAAACCGCAACTCACAAAATTTATACCGAGGCACAATGATCTGCTACGATCGGAGCGCCGGTCACACCTAGTGGCAACATTGCGACGTAATATGCGTTGTAATAATCTGTGGAGTTAAAAAAAAGAGAAGAGGAGGGTAGGAGGCGAGACAAGCCACACACATTCTCTTTGTGTTCGTGATGTGAACATCTCTCCAAAAACTTAAAAAAAGGGACTACTCCAGAGTGTACCGTGTACAATCTAATTGCTAGTGTATTCTACCGTGTAGAAGAAGCTACCAGGAGCTGTCAACGTTTGCTGATCTTGGGAGGCTGGCTAGTAAGACCGTGAGTAGTTTGTTGCTGTTTTTGGTGTGATTTTGTGACTGCGGTAACTGAACGTTTCAGGGGATTTAGATTCTCAATACAGTCCACTATATCTAGTAAAATAATCCCAATCCGCCACATTTCTGGCCTTCGAGCCGCATATATTCGAATTAGTGATCTTCGAATAATAATTTTCTACCCTTAATTCGCGTCCCGTGGACGTCATATATTTGAGTAAAACTACGCATTTAATTAATTTAATATCCCTTATTTAATTTGCCTCTTTTTTACCTGGATGTCCATTGCTCGCGGTGCGTTTATAAAGTATTAATTTTGTAATTTGTTCATAATGTCGGATAAATTACAAATAAAAAGGCAAACACTTATTTTTAAAAAGGAATACCTATTTGCTAAATTACAAAAGGTTTTCGATATCGCGAGATCCCAAATAAATGATCCCACACAAATTCAGAATTTCTTAGCCGATTATTCCGAATTAGAAAGTGTCCGCTCAAAGTTTGAAGAAACAGTGTTAAATATTATTGAAATAGATATATCATTAAAACCGGAGACAAGATTGTCAACGCGAGAATTAGATACATTTGATGAACTTTATAAGGCATGTAGGTTGCAATATTTAAGATTAAAACCGGACGAGCAGGCATCCCTCAGTAGGAAAGATAGGAGTGATGTAAGGCCGTCATTACCTAAATTACGTTTATTTGAATTCGATGGTGATATTGAGAAGTGGACCACATTCTACGATACATTTGTATCACTTGTCCACAATCGAGATTTCGACGAAATAGATAAGTTTCACTATTTGCTTTCATGTGTTAAAGGTTCGGCATTAAACATTGTTAAAAAATTGCCCATAACAGCCGCTAATTATACTGTCGTATGGCAAAGTTTATGTAATAAATATCAAGATGATCGAATACTCGTGGGTAGGTACATCGATAAAATGATAAACTTTACGCCGTTAAATAAAGATACTACCGCAAATCTTACTTTATTTATCGAAACATTCGATCACTCTTTTAAAGCCATCGAGGCATTAAAAATTAAAAATTTACATGACTATTTATTTTGTCATTTAGCCTTACGTGGGTTGGATGCGCATACTAGGAGGCTTTTTGAAGAAAATCGGGATCAAAATTCACTTCCATCTTTTTCGGAATTAATTAGTTTTGTAAATAAACAAGTTAAAGTACTCGAACATTCATCGAATAGTACGATGTCGTTACAATCAAGAAATAAGTCTATATGTAACAATTACAAAGGCAACAATAATAACCACTACAAAAGTTATTCAAAGACAGTTTTAAATACTAATGTGTCGAATTATAATAAAAATAAAAAAATAATTTGCGCGCATTGCAATCAAAATCACATGATTTATAGGTGCGATCAATTTCGTAAATTGACCGTAGATAAAAGGATTGACCGTGTCAATACCTTAAAATTGTGTCATAATTGCCTAAAAGGAAATCATGATACCTCAACTTGTAAAAGTGAGATGTCTTGTGGTGTATGTGCGTCACTACATCATTATCTATTGCATAGGGAGCCAGTGAGCGACACGCTCGTGCCAACATCCACCCGTCCATTGTGCTCTGACTCGCAAGTGCAACAAGCACTCGTCTCGTCTCAGGCTATGAGTGACTCAGAGCGTTATACGATAGATACGCTTCATTCCAATAACGCTCACTCGGGTTACGGTGTTGTATTGGGAACGGCGCGCGTGTTAGTAATTGATAGTAGCGGCCAGCTTCAATACTGCCGTGCAGTTATTGACTCTGGAGCTCAGAGCTCATTTATTACAACTGAGTGTGCTCAACGTTTGGGCTTACCTCGAAAGAAGTGTTCGTTTAATATTTATGGTCTCGGTGGAGAGGCTGTAAAAAATCACGGCATGATTACATGCACATTAAGGTCCCTACACACTGACCTACCTAGTTTTACACTGAACATGGTCGTAGTGACTAAGGTATCTGCTGATATGCCTAACGTTCGATTCCACTCGGACGTTATTAATAAATATAAGAATTTTAATTTAGCTGATCCATTATTTTATAAGCGTTCGCGTATCGATATACTATTGGGCAATGATATAGTTTCGGAACTAATTAAGGATAAACCTTATATTATTTCATCGGATATACCAAGCGTGATCGATACCGCTTTCGGGTTTGTTGTAAGTGGTAAACTTTATAGCAATGATAAGGACAATTTAAAAAATTATAATTTATCAGTCTCATTTGATGAACAAGAGTCTTTAGATCAAACGTTGCGTAAGTTTTGGGAAATCGAAGAATTGCCAAGCAAACCCTCGATTAATCCTTTGGAACAATTAGCGGAAGACATTTTCGTGGCTCGTTATAGTCGTACTGAGGATGGTACCTATTCAGTGCCGTTACCATTCATACCAGACCCGCCTCCGTTGGGCGCGTCACGAGCGGCAGCCGAGCGGCGACTCTTGTTCACCGAGCGCAAGTTGAATCGTTCACCTGTATTACGACAAGCCTATTCAGAGTTCATGTGCGAATATGAAAATCTAGGGCACATGGAGCTTTATTCGGGGGACACCCCGAGCAAATATGTGATACCTCATCACAGTATACTTAAGCCCAGTAGTTCCACTACTCCTTTGCGTGTGGTATTCGATGCCTCGGCTAAAACGTCCACGAACGTTTCGCTTAATGATATTCTATTGACCGGGCCTAATCTGTATCGAGATATTGGGGCTATAATATTGAATTTTAGGTTGTTTGAATATTGTTTGATTTGTGACGTATGCAAAATGTATCGGGCAATTAAACTGAATCAGTCAGATAGATGTTATCAACATATTTTGTATCGTCATTCGCCTAACGATGCCATTGACGTTTATGAATTAAAAACTGTCACTTACGGCTTAAGTTGCTCACCGTTCTTAGCTATCCGCACCCTCTTACAGTTAGCCTATGACGAGGAAGAACGTTTCCCACTCGCTGCAAAGGTTGTGCGCGAGGGCGTGTACATGGATGACATTCTATATTCTTGTAGTTCATTGTCACAGATATCTCGGTTACAAGATGAACTTTTAGAGATGTTTAATTCCGGTGGCTTTATACTCAAAAGGTGGGCGAGTAATAGTGCAAAAGTTTTACAACGCGTTCCGTTAGAAAACCGAGAGTGTCCTGTTACATTTATGAAAGATGGTAACAAATATTCAGTCAAAGTGCTAGGTCTGAAATGGTTCCCTTTGACTGACTGTTTTTATTTCACAGTAGATAAGACTGATAAAGTAACAACTAAACGTTCTGTTTTAAAATTATTAGCTTCTATTTACGACCCCGTGGGTTTTATTTCACCGTGCATTTTCATCGCGAAAGAGATAATGCAAGATTTATGGAAGCTGGGCATAGGATGGGATGAGCAGCTGCCAACTGACGTAACTAAGCGCTGGCTTAATTACGTTGATGATCTCCCGCGACTAACGGCAATCAAGATAGATAGACATATGCTGCTACCAGAACAGACCGAATGCGAATTGGTCGCCTTTTGCGATGCAAGCTCTCGCGGTTATGCTAGTTGTGTGTATGTGATCAGTCGCAACGATAGAGGTCAAACTAAAGTACGCCTGGTGACAGCAAAATCTAAAGTAGCCCCCGTCAAACCATTAACTATCCCGAGGTTGGAATTAATGGCGTCAGTTTTGTTAAGCAAATTAATTAGATATGTCCGTGACATTTTAACTCGTGTAAAAATTACTCGTATTACTGCGTTAACCGATTCGACTATCGTGTTGACGTGGCTTCAGACAGAAGCTTACAAATTAAAGCCGTTTGTTAGTAACCGTGTTACTCAGGTATGTGAAGTGTTACCTCCACACTGTTGGCGTCACGTGAGTAGTGAGTGCAATATGGCAGACATATGCTCGCGCGGAGCGTCTCCGTCACAGCTCGTGGAGTGCAGTGAGCAGTGGTTGAAGGGCCCATCTTGGTTGTACGACGACTATTCGCAGTGGCCAGTGAGAACATTTATCAACCAACATGAAAGTAATACACCCGAAATGAAATCAAATCATACATTAGGCTCCTTCAATTTAATCACAAATGAAAATAATTCGATAGAGGAGACTAAGTTAGAGTTCTGTGACCGAATCTTTTCCAATTTCTCTTCTTATTATAAACTGCAACGTACGTTTGCTCGAATATTGAGATGGTTCCGACTCAAATCCGGTCACTCGAAGCAATCAATACTGACGACTAACGAATTAAATACTGCCCAAGATGTTTTAATTAAATTAGTACAAAGTGCATACTTCGCAAATGAAATAAATAGATTGTCAAAGGGCACAAAGTACGTTCCGTCGTTGAGAAAATTATCTCCATTTATTGACGAACGCGGATACCTCAGGGTGGGGGGTCGAATAAATTATTCAGCGTTACCTTATAACGCGAAGCATCCTCGTTTATTACCTAAAAATAGTAGATTTACCTTTTTACTTATTGAATATTTACATAAAAAATATTTACACGTAGGTCCACGCACCTTACAAAACATTATTAATCAAAATTTTTGGATTTTAGCATCCCGTCGCATTATTCGGTCAGTTTTGTCCAAATGCAAAATTTGTTTTAAACACAACCCAGTGCTCTTACAGCCTGAGATGGCACCTTTGCCAGCAGCCCGATTGATACCTTGTAATGTTTTTGAGCATGTAGGGGTGGACCTCGGTGGTCCGTTCTTTACAAAAGAAAGTTTACGACGAAATGCTAGGGTTGAACGGTCATATTTAGCATTATTTATTTGTTATTCGACAAAAGCTGTACACCTTGAAGTCTTATCGTCGTTGTCATCGGACTGTTTCCTCGCGTGTTTAGACAGATTTGTAGCGCGACGCGGTGTGTGCTCCTTCCTTTATTCGGATTGCGGAACTAATTTCATAGCTGCTAGTAAGCATTTAACCGAAGTACAAAGATTTATGCTCGAACAAAAAAACAATATATTAGAGGGTTGCTCAAAACGACAAATTATATGGAGATTTAATCCCCCTGGTGCACCACATATGGGTGGGCTCTGGGAAGCTGGAATTAAATCCGCCAAGTATCTATTAACGCGAGCCGTAGGAGAAAAAAGTTTGACGTTCGAGGAACTCACAACAGTGTTTTGTAAAGTAGAAGCGATTCTCAACTCGCGGCCGCTTTGTCCGTTACCAGCTAGTGATAATCCTGATGAGTTCAACGTTTTGACTGCGGGACACTTTCTAATTGGAAAAGGGTTAACAGCAGTACCTGAGTATAATGTAGAGGATATAACAATAAATCGATTATCACGTTGGCAATATATTCAAAAATGTTCACAAATGTTTTGGCGTAGATGGAGTCACGAATATCTAAATACGCTGCAACAGAAAGCAAAGTGGCATTCGGATAGATCTAATATAAAAATAGGTGATCTCGTAATCATAAAAACTGATAATGTACCGCCGTGCAATTGGCCTTTGGGTAGAATTGAGGCTCTTCACCCCGGTCCAGATGGGATTGTTCGTTGTGTTACGCTTCGCACTCAAAAGAGTACTCTACAGAGACCAGTTAATAAACTGAGACCTCTACCTTATTCAAATTAGTTTTTACGTGTATTAATATTTTTTTTTCTCGTTGAGGACATTCTGTGTCTCAGCGTTATTTTGCATGTTCCGTAGCTTAAGTTATAATATTTTCTCTAATATCTTTTTCATATAGTTAGGAGAAACCATCAAGATGGTTTCGGTGGGGGGTGTGTTCAGTAATAAACCGCAACTCACAAAATTTATACCGAGGCACAATGATCTGCTACGATCGGAGCGCCGGTCACACCTAGTGGCAACATTGCGACGTAATATGCGTTGTAATAATCTGTGGAGTTAAAAAAAAGAGAAGAGGAGGGTAGGAGGCGAGACAAGCCACACACATTCTCTTTGTGTTCGTGATGTGAACATCTCTCCAAAAACTTAAAAAAAGGGACTACTCCAGAGTGTACCGTGTACAATCTAATTGCTAGTGTATTCTACCGTGTAGAAGAAGCTACCAGGAGCTGTCAACGTTTGCTGATCTTGGGAGGCTGGCTAGTAAGACCGTGAGTAGTTTGTTGCTGTTTTTGGTGTGATTTTGTGACTGCGGTAACTGAACGTTTCAGGGGATTTAGATTCTCAATACAGTCCACTATATCTAGTAAAATAATCCCAATCCGCCACAAATTTCTATTATAGATCCTTATGTACGTTCTAAATATTTCTGCTGCTTCTCATGTTCCTGATGTTTTAATGTGTCTAATATAATAATAATGATAAAAGCTGGCTTTTAGTCTTTATTTTTCTCTGGGATACAATTAAGGCCAAGTACTCGGTACTTGGCCGTTAATACTCGGTGCTCGGCTAAAAAAAGGCCGAATCCGCCGAGTACCGAATCCAAACCGAGTACTCGTCACATGTCTACTTCATATGACTGAACTTATGGCTTTATTAAGTATATAATTGTAAATTTAAGAAAGAGCGGTGCCCCCTGTCACAGGCTCCATAGCTTAAAGGGGGACTCCTGTCACCATTCATTTTAAACTAGCTGTTCCTCGCGACTTCGCCCGCGTGTAGTTTAGGGTTTTATTTATGTTGCGCGGAATCCTAACTCTTTTTCTAAAATATATGTAGCCTAAGTTACTCCTTATAACATCAGCTGGAACAAACAGACAGACAGACCAACAGACAGACAAAAAATTTTAAAATTGTGTTTTGTTATAAGTACCCTATATACATTCTTATGTATTTAGTAAAAAGCTGTTATTTTAACATTACAAACAAACACTTCAATTTTATTTATTTGTATAGATAATAATATGTAATTATGATTCCAGTTCCAAAGAAATCCGATTTGCTACCGGGTAAGGAGTGTTCCCCCGGGTCGAAATGGACCAGTCAATGCAACGAGTGCACCTGTAGCTCCGAAGGTTATCCCACGTGCACCGAAATGAAATGTTCCGGTCAGGAAACTGGTACGTGTTTGCCTATAAGCATGGTTTGATTCTCACAAATTTAAATACAATTTATAAAACGAAAACGATTACAGTGTCTACAGATTAGTGTCGAGGCGCCATTGTACGTTTTGATTTATTAGAACATATCTATAATAATATAATATTGTCAACCGTGATGGCGAGTCCCCCCCCCCATGACGTAATATATGAGGATATAGATATATGTTACTATGTGCAACAGTGGTATAGTGAAAGGTTGTTATGGAAGTTTTTATTGTAAGATAAACGGCGGAAAATAACGTAATTTTTCTAGTCTGCTTACTCTTTTGCCGCTCCGTGACGCAATGGCTTAGCATTCAGTTATGTCGCAGAGGGCCGTGAGTTTGAATCCCGCATAGAACAAAGTATTTGTATGACCTACAAATAATTGTTCCGGGTCTGGATGTTTGCTCTCGTGCAATCTATGTTTGTAAACTGCCTCCAAGATACAGGAGAAAATCCTAGTGGGGGGGGGGGGGGGGGGGGCTGTAATGTTTTCTTTTAAAAACAAAAAAAATAAAAATTAAATAATCTACTATTAATCTGTCCTGAAGATTCGCGAAAGTGGCTTGAATTAAACTAATTTGCCACGGTAAACCTCTGTCAGATTTCTTCTTCATCCTCGTAGCCTTTATCCAAACTTATGCCAGGTTCAGTTTTTCTTGCTATCTACAACATCACACGTATTAATTTCTTATATTTACGCGAACACTACACATTTTTAAATAAAACTAATTTTACGGATTTTATCGCGTATATTATCTTATTTTTATATTCCCGACGTTTCGGGTGCTTTACAGCACCCGTGGTCACGGGGTGCTGGAAGGTGCTTTCCCGACTTTTATAAGTAAATATACGCGATAAAATCCGTAAAATTAGTTTTATTTAAAAATCACACGTATTAACTACTTTTTTAAGTTGATTGCTATGCATTGATTCATCCAAAACTGCATCAGTTAGCTTATATATTTTTCTTATAGTAACCAACACCCTAATTGCAAAGGAGGATAGTCCACCTGATTGTAAGTGAAAGCTGTGGCCCATAGTCACCTACATTTATCCTCGATAAAGAATCGAAATGCAGACTCGTTATCTTCATCCCACCATGTTACCAGTAAAAAGAGTATCCGGTTCTCGTCCCTCAGCATATAAAATGCAGCAGTACTATGCTGCTATTTTAAGCTACTATTCTGTGCGATGGTGGTCCTTTAACGGTCGGGTTGACTCATACGTACTGCAGACGTAAATTACCGTTATGTCTACTCTGTTTCTGTGCACATAAACGCAGTACCTATATTAAGACCAGTGTACACTGTAAGTACATCTGTTTATTTTTTTAATATATAAATGTTTCCAGAGACAGTGTTCAGCTGCGCTCCGGAATCAGTGTGGAAGAACGACTGCAATACGTGTTGGTGTACCGACGGTCGTGCTGTGTGTACAAAAATTGGATGCAGTGTTATACCTGGTAAGCCTTATTGTATGATTGTTTTGCTATTAACATTTTTAATAGTACATATCTATGTTTATCGATAGTTGTAGCATGAATGGGTCGGCTCGACCGGGGAAGGACCACGGTCTCACAGAATACTGGCGTAAAATAGCAGCTTAACGCTGCTGTGTTTCGTATGGTGAGTGTAGAGAACCGGAGACCCTTTTTACCGGCAAAGAGGCATTCTATCTTAGTCCTCACGGGTGACAACGCATCTGCATCTTGAGTCTTTATTGAGGATAGATGTAGATGTCTATGGGTCACAGTAACCACTTACCATCAGGTGGACTGTGTGCTCGTTTGTAACCCGATCCTATAAAAAAAAAGTAGGATAGAGTCCGCTACATTTACTTACTTTAATGCAAGTTCGTGCAACCCAACGCGAGTAACCCAACGGATTAGTAAATTGAAGTAAAAATGGGGCGGCCGTATAGCTCAAAAACCTACAATCAATGAAGAAAGGTTTTTGAGCGGCATCCTCGTACCATTAAACGAAGTGTAGGGCGGCCTCATACTAGACGGAGTGAATATCTGGTAAGACATGCAAGAAGACGATGGAAGTAGATGGTTTTGTGGCAATCCTTGGGAGTGGCATGTGTTTAGTTGAAGACTTGTGACGGGTTGCAATAATGATGATGAAGTTAATGATGATAAGACATACAAGAAAGTGTAAAATTAGCACTTCAAAAAAATATTGGATCAATGCCGCGGTTCAATGTAATTCAATTTGTACAAATATTTACATTGACCAATCGGAACACAAGGATTGAGAATAAGTTTGAAGATCATTCGATTGGGCTATATAATTATAAGTCAATCAAATTGAATATAAACATTACATAAAATATATATTTTTTGCAGCTCTAGATTTCAATGTTGACTCAAAGGACTACGAGGAAATTGTCGAACCAGCACCGGTGAGTTAATTGAATCTAGTAATTTTTATTTTAATGTTTATTGTGTTCTAACTTTAAATAAAATTTTGGGTCATCCGTGGAAATCACAACGATAATCATTTACATTCACAACCGAAATCGTATAATTTGAAGTAAAATAATTTGGTGACAGGAATATTTTGTGCTTTAATTAGAAAATACGTATCAAGACTTCATTTAAAAAAAAAAAATTATCAAAACAATATCATCTTATTCATTCACATTGCCATATATTTGTCTAAAAAGTGTTTTAATAAATCACGTTTGGCTATTTGGTTGCACAAATTCAACTTGGTTATTTCAAGGTAAGTACGATAAATGTTTCTTAATTTTTATGTTACACAGGATCAGAGTAAAATTTATGTTTAATTCTAACATTATAAAATTCAGATATTAAATAAACAAATAACTCTTTTATTAGAGATTAAAAAAAGACTTTTAACCCTACAGGAGTATGAAGTGAAGTACACATTAAAAGACGATCAGCATAATGTATTGAAGAGATCCGTATGCAAATCAAATTCTCAGTTTCAAATGGAATGCAATCCTTGCAAGTGTGCTGCGAATGGTGAGAGTTTTTCGTGCACTCATAACGAATGTATGGAGTCAGACAACGATAACGATACTGACATAATAAACAAAGATGTCGAAGTATTCATGGAAAGTGAGGTAATAAATTTCAATGAAAACAATTTTTAAAACACTTTCTACGGGCATATGTCATAAAGGGAATGTCAATGGGAATGAAAGGATTTAAGTTCAAGTAATCGTTTTTGAATAAACGACAGTAGCCAATCGGCAGGGTTCGAACCGCGCGGTCTAAAAGGTCGTGGGTTCAAATCCGCCATTCGACTACTATTGTAAACTACTCCTAACACAAGGTTAAAGAGAATATTATAAAGTTATTGCATTGCTAGAATCATACGTGGTAGAGCCAAACTGCAGGTATATTAGTAGTATAGATGTAGCACGAATGGGTCAGCTCGACCGGGGAACGGACCACGCTCTCACAGAATACCAGCGTAAAATAGCAGTTTAACACTGCTGAGTGTGAGTGTAGAGAACTGGAGACCCATTTTACTGGAAAAGAGGCATTTCATCTTAGTCCTCATGGGTGAAAACGCATCTGCATTTTTGATTTGTAATCGATGATAGATGTAGATGTCTATGGGCCACAGCAATCACTTACCATCAGGTGGACTGTGTGCTCGGTTGTCACCCTATACTATAAAAAAGTATTTTTTTATTATAAAATAAAATAAATTATAAATAAATAAATACAAATAAGATTCTTCCCTTTCAAAACCTTGTTAAAGTCCATTGTTGGACATAGGTCTCTTTTGTTTTAGGGAGAATTTGTCTTACACTCGACAGGCACAGTGGTAGAGCCACACGGCAGCTTTTGCTGTCGCACGGATGGGCCGGCTCGAACCGGGGTAGTACCACGACCTCACAGAATACCAGCGTGAAGTATAGGTTTACCTCTGCGTTTCGCTTCGTGAGTGCAGGTGGCCGGAGGCCCTTTTTACTGGAAATGAGGCATTCCATCTTAGTCCTCACGGGTGACAACGCATCTGCATTTTGATTTGTAATAGAGGATAGATGTAGATGTCTATGGGCTGCAGCAACCAATTACCATCAGGTGAACTGTGTGCTCGTTTGTCACCCTTATCCTTATCCTATAAAAAAAAGGCGGAATGCCGATCGCAGTATCCGATGCAGTGCATCTCTATCCCTTTTCGCTGTTATAGGTCTATCGCCTACCTACCGGTAGCCATGAGATATTTGTGGCATGTTTTTTTGATAGATTTACTAACGCCGCCCCACACAACATTAGGATTACATAATACTTTATTTTTAAAACTGCTACATATTTTCGTTTCCCCATTTTATTGCACCGCAAGCAGCGAGTATTGTGAGAATCATTGTCGGCAGGAATGCACTCTGCAACCGCTTTATTTATTTTTTCATTATTATAACATCTTTTGACCTAAGTCTTACGATCTTTTTTTATATTCTACTAAGCCAGTGTTTATCTACGATGCCACCTGATGGTAAGTGGTGATGTACCCTAAGACGGTGAAGCGCACTGACTTAACAAAAGCCTATTCACTCTTGCCTTAAAGACACCCACACTGTAATCGGATGGAAAGACAGATGCTGGCAACTTATTCCACTCCTTTGCTGTACGCATGATGAACGACGTGGCGAACCGTTTGGTTCGAATGCGTGGTAAGTCAACAACGAAAGGGTGGAGACTGGCCGAACGTCTGGTTGTCCGATGGTGGAAGGGAGAGGAACTAATGAAATTATGCAATTCCAGCGCACACTCTCCGAAATGCATCCTGTAGAAAACCGAAAGGCTGGCTACTTTCGGTTTTCTACTTTCTATTTACATATTTAGATAAAAAGCTGAAGTGACGAATTAATTTACAATTTACCTGGTAATAAGTGGCTTCTGCAGTCGATGGACACCTGAAACCAACTTCAAGCGAAGAATGCTACAGATGTGGTGTCACCTCTGAGGACTAAGATGGAATTCATCACAGCATGTAACTATACTGACTCTCTATCTCTTCAGACCGGCAACAGCACAGAAATAGGTAAGAGAGCAGTACTAGATGATTTGTGGGCAGAAAAGGAGTCTTACTATCTAGATAGAAGACCTAGACCTAATATAGCATCAAAGGTCAAAAGTCAAAACGAAGTTGATCACGATTCGAAATAGAGCTACACGATCACAGTACAGAATACGTAGTGCACACATCCATGCTATTGTAAACACTATTTATCAATTGTTTTGACAGGGCGTCGATCACATAGAAAGGCACTCGGTCTGCGAACCGCTGGGGATCTTCTACATAGCATGCAACACATGCTGCTGCAATCACGACGGCTCAGACTTCTCCTGCACCAACAAACTTTGCCCACTGCCTGATGATGTAGAACTATTCGAATCTAAGGATTTTAAGGTTTTATTCTAATATTTTCATTTATAAATAATAACAATAATATAATAATGTTGCATAAAGGTTAAAGGTAATGCCAGAAGATCTAGTAAATCTAGGATAAAAGTAATATAAAAGATGTACTTGATAATTTTAAGAAAAACTGGTTACTTTCTTGAAATTATCAAGTACTTCTTTTATGTTTTAACTTTGTCGAAAATACGAAAGTACAGTTCAAGTAATATAACATTAGGACCACGCCCTCAGACAACACCAGCGTAAAATAGTAGGTTAATGCTGCCCCTTTTACTGGAAATGAGGCTTTCCACCTTAGTCCTCAAGGGTGACAAAGCATCTATATTTTGATACTTAATCGAGGATATTTACATAGATAGATGTAGAGGTATATGAGCTACAGCACCCACTTACCAAGAGCCCTTACTGACTGCCTCGTTGGTCTAGTGGTTGTAGTAGTGCGACTGGTGATCATGAGGTCCCGGGTTCGAATCCCGGGTCGGGCCAAAAAAATCAGTTATTGAGTTTTTCCATCAAGAAATTCTCAGTAGCTGCCCGGAGTCAGGAATCCGGCGGTGTTTCACCCCCGTGCCTCGGAAAGCACGTAAAGCCGTTGGTCCTGCGCCTGATCTCTCTCCGGTCGTGTCGGTTTACCGTCCCATCGGACTATGAGAGTGAGGGAATAGAGAGTGCACCTGTGCTTGCGCATACACTTGGGCACTATAATCCTGTCCTGCGCAGATGGCTAGTCTCCGCTGAGACTGGCCGCCGTGACCGAAATTCGGTCTGGAGGACATTATTACCAAGAGGTAGACTGTGTGCTCGTTTGTCTCCCTTATTTTTTTATATTCTACTAAGCCAGCGCTTATCTACGATCCCACCTGATGGTAAGTGGTAATGTAGCCTAAGATGGTGAAGCGCACTGACTTAACAGAAGCCTATTCACTCTTGCCTTGAAGACACCCACACTGTAATCGGATGGAAAGACAGATGCCGGCAACTTATTCCACTCCTTTGCTATACGCACGATGAACGACGTGGCGAAGCGTTTGGTTCGAATGCGTGGTAAGTCAACAACGAAAGGGTGGAGACTGGCCGAACGTCTGGTTGTCCGATGGTGGAAGGGAGAGGAACTAATCTTACATTCTTATGTTCTATTAGTTTAGTGTATGTTATCTTATATTTCATTTTATTTCAGGATAAAAAGGCGATTGTACCATAAAAATACAGGTATGAGTATGATATGCCTGAGGATTTTTCTTGACGATAAAATGCATCAATAAAAGAATGAAAGAAAATACATAAAGGAGAAGAACAGTGAATATGAAATTAGGTGTAGTTTGATGTTTTTGTACATAATATGTATTAAGAAATACATTTTAACTATAAAACAGTGTAGTTTTATTTCTGAGCATTATGAATTTTACATACTTGTACTATGAACGTACTCTGAACGTACCAGGCACGGGAAAAAACATGCGTGAGTGTCGTGGAACACTCGGTTGGAACGAAGTTTCTTTCGTAGTATATTATTATTGATAAACGTATTATATTATTGATTAAAAAATACAAACAAATGAATTACAAGCGTCTATTAAAATGACGAGTCATTTAAAATAATATTTCTTTCATGGCAAGATAAGCAAAAGTGCGAAGGAGACGGATATTATTCCATCTCGCTCGTACTATAGAAAGTGGGTCGTAACGGAAAAAATCTTACACTTTTTCTCGCCATTCGTCAAATTCATACCGTGCGATAAGGAACTTCGTTTCAAACCACGGCAGTCACTACTATGCCCATTAGCTCGCTCATACGTATCCTATTCTTCCGATCAATATGTGTTCACTAATACCCGTTCTATTGGTTGAAGTTTTCGTGTCGTTGTTTTGAATATTATTTATGTAAAAATACCTTTACGGTGATTATTAGAAAATAATCGTAAAAAAATTGGTAATGATCGAATATTTTATACAACGGTGAACATACGCGATTATAAGGCTTAATCCGTCTAAACCAGGGTTTTCCAACCTTTTTGTGACTAGGGATCACTTTGATGTTTTTGCAGTTAGCAGGGACCACGAAGTAAAAGATAAAACTGTGAATAAATTATAATTACAACTTTTAACATAATTATATAATAAACTGAAAAGAAACATTAATAACAATATATATAATATATATATATATATATATATTTTCATATATATATATATTGATAGCGACGTTACACGAGTTAATTGTTAGTCTTAAGTGTATGGGTGCGGCAATTTTGAATGGTTATATAAGTGCAGATTAAGTCGGCATTTGTAAAATCCGTAATTTCATTACAATCCCTGTCACTGCTCTTCTAGGCACTCAAATCAAATGTAAAAGAAGCAAACGGTACAAAAGCAGTAATCTGTTCTGCGAACAGAATGTTTATTAAAGACTGCAACACCTGTTGGTGCAACGAAGACGGCACCAGTTATTTCTGCACTAGAAAGGTCTGCGTATCGGATCTGCCAGATGAAGTTGACGCAGAAGTAAAGTCAGAGGTAGTCTATATAGTTTAATACTGGTGGTGGGTTACTAGATATAGACTAACAGTTGACGGGTATTCCAATATTCATTCTAATTTCTAATTCCTCTCTTTTGGCAGTATTGACTCTCCAAAGACTTGTCTATTTATATGTATTCAAATAACGATGTTTTTTATTTATTTATGGCTGCGTTTATGTTTTCTAAAATATTTACAGTGGCAGACCAGTAGTTGTCCTAATAGTACGTGGCTACTGTAGCCCATGGAGATCTGCAACCAGCTTTAAACAAAGACGCTACAGGTGTTGACATCCCTGAGCACTAAGATGAAATGCGTCATGGTCTATAATTATACTGGATCTTTTAACCCTAAAACTGGAACACAACATTAGGTGTACTGCTGCTTAAGGTGAAAGCCCCAGGGTGGCCCGCGAAATTCAAATTTTGTTACGTTTTTTGCAATTTGTAGGTCAGTATCAGGTTGTATGTTTAATAAAATATGATTCGCGACCGTGACATGTATGTATTTACAGAATTATAATTATTATAATCATCAATACAACCCCCTAAGTTCGTATAATCCTATTGTATGGCTATTTCCAGAAAAACTCATTCAAAGGAATTATATGAACTTGGAGGGTTGTATTGGTGATTGTAATGATAATAATTCTGTAAACACATACTCGTTACGGTCGCGAATCATATTTTGTTAAACATTCAACCTGACCCTGACCTGCAAAGTCCAAAAAACGTAAGAAAATTTGAATTTCGCGGGCCACTCTGGAGCTTTCACCTTAATGTTAGAACAACTTAAGAGGGCGATAATTCAGATAAACACTAAGGTAAAAATGATCCCATATCACTCAGGAAGTTTTTTTAGGAAGCTAGGTTTGAGGAATTAAAACATCCGTCTTTTGTAAGCCATGTTGTTTATACAGCATTTTTTATAGAATAAGGGTGACAACGAACACACATTCGTCAGTGATGGTTAGTGAATGTTGTGGCCCATCTACATCTATCCTCAATTACGAATCAAGTGGTAACTTCCCAGACGGACTTTTAGGCAGAAAAGGAGTCTTAGGTTTTATAGAACACTAAGGTTTTATAATTGTAAAATTTTTTTTACGTGGTAGAGTCCTACTACAGCTATATTAAAGTTGTAGTACGAATAGGTCGGCTCAACCAAGGAAGCACCACGCTCTCACAGAGTACCAGCGTAAAATAGCAGCTCAATACTGCTGTGTTTCGTATGGTGAATGTAGAGAACCGGAGACCCATTTTACTGGTAAAGAGGCATTCTATCTTAGTCCTCACGGCTGAAAACGCATCAGCTTTTTAATTCGCAAACGAAGATACATGTAGATGTCTATGGGCTACAGCAACCACTTACCATCAGGTGGACTGTGTGTGTGTGTAAAAAAAAGCAGTGATTTCGGAACTTAATGATATCCGGCTTAGTACTGAAATTAAGTTGTATATTTTTTGAGTTACCAGTTGGTGATTAACATTTCTTCTCGCTTATATAGCAAAACGCACGTTTGATTATGAAACAATGTCGTCCGGACGAAGTGTTCGAGATAGACTGTAACATGTGCCGTTGCAATGCCGATGGGAAGTCATTCTCTTGCACAAGGAGGGCTTGCTACTCAGAAGATGATACGAAGGTTGGAATCTCTTGCGTTGTAGGCTTCTGGTGGTGGATTATGGATCTTGGATCTTTATACGGAATTCGTGCTATTGTGTAAAGTAACATTTAAACTATACAGTACAAAACATGCAACATGTTGTGTTCTTTAAAGCATTTTTCGTTCTTTAAATTTTTAACGTTTTAGTATATAGTGTACGCATGTTATACGTATAATTAATATGGCTTAACTACGGCGCTGCTGGTCTTAGGTACAAAAAATATTTGTATGATCTACAAAATAGTTTTCTGTTTGTCCAGGCGCTTAAAGCAAGGCGTTTTAAGCGAAATTTCTAATATTTGTGACAACTTTAAAAAACTAGTGAGAAGAGGCAATATTTTTTATATAACTATACATAAAAATGTAAAATAGATACATATATAAATATTAAACAGTACATAATTATTTTTTATTATTGCAGAATACGTCGCTTACACGGAAGACACGAGCGTCGCCGCAGGTACGTACTTACTTACTTACTTACTTATCTTCACGCACAATCCCTGACGGGGTAGCCAGAGAGAACAGATCGCCAAGTGTCACGATCCTTACAAACCTCTTTCGCTTCTTTCAGATTCATTATCTTCTTCATGCATGCACGTCTAGGTATCCGAGTACTCTTGACCCTACCCTCTTCGAGCAATTTGCTCACATGGTCTTCGAAAGTTAGTCTCGGTCTACCTCGACACCTTTTAATATTAACTTTCGCGCTATATATTTTCTTCACCATTCGGTCTTCACTCATTCGCTCAACGTGCCCAAACCACCGAAGCACGCCCTTATCAATTTTTGTGATAAGGTTATCTTTCAAACCTGCCATATTGCGAATCTCTTCGTTTCGCTTTCGGTCGGCCATAGTAACGCCGCACATTTTACGAAGAGATCGCATCTCCACTGCATTCAACTTACTTTTATGCTTCTTCTGGCATACCCAGGTTTCGCTGCCATATAACAAAGTCGGTACCAACACTGCGTTATGTATTGCAAGGCGTGCACTCTTCGCTACGCCTTGCCTTTTGACTAACGCAGTCAGGGCACCATTGACTTTGTTCCCGGCAGCGACACGCCTGTCCACATCTAAATCACATCTTCCATCCCGGCTAAAAGCACTCCCCAAGTATACAATTTCATTTACCTGTTCTAGACATTCCTGATTTATCCATATTTCACACTTCGTTCTCTCTTCGTCCCTTTCAAATACCAGAATCTTAGTTTTATTAGCATTCAAACGGAGACCTTTAATTTCACATTCCTCTTTCATACACGTAACTAATGCCTGCAGTTCTGCCTCTGATGGTGCAATAAGCACTGCATCATCAGCATACAGCAGACAATTTACTTTTATGTCACTCAATTTCACACCCAAACAGCTATCTTTCAGCTTCTGTAAACAGCTGTCGAGATACAGTATGAACAGCCAGGAAGACATGACACAACCCTGCTTTACGCCCGTTTGGACGTTAAACATGGGTGACAGGTCATGCCCTACCCGCACACAGGCTTTACAGTCACAGTAAAGAGACTGCACAGCCCTTAGCAATCGACCATCCACACCATACCCCGGCAACAGTTCCCACATTTTCTTCCTTATAACCTTATCAAATGCTTTCTCAAGATCCATAAAAGCACAGAAAATCTTCTGGTTAGCAGCCAGAAGCTTTTCCGTGATCATGCGGAGAGAAAACATTTGATCCGTGCATCCTCTTCCAGGTCTAAATCCACATTGTGCCTCCCATAGAAATCTTTCCGATTTCTCTTGCATCCTACGTGTCAAAACCTTCGAGTAAACTTGACTTGCTAAACTGGTCAAGCTGATCGCCCGATAGCACCCGCAGTCAAAATGTGAACCTTTACCTTTATATAAAGGCACAATGACTGCGGATCGCGAATCATCCGGGACATCCCCCGTCCGCCAGCATAAATTGCACAGCAGATGGAAGCTGTCCCAGACGCGAGGTCCACCATACTTGACCATTTCAGCAGTAACTCTGTCTGGTCCCGCAGCCTTACCACATTTCAAACTTCGAATCGCACGTTCAATCTCTTTCATACTGATGACCTCAGTGTCATCGAGGTCCGGGTCTGGCGTACCAGTCACGGCGTCATCCCCGGATCCCTCACTAAGATCATCACACGCATACATTTCTCTATAAAATTCGCTCCATCGCTGCATGACGTCCGATTTTTCTGAGAGGACGTCATTAGTTCTAGAAGTAATTAATTCTAGTACGTACGACTCTTCAAACCTACTTTTACATTGTTTAGTAAACTATTTACACATTATATAAATAATAAGTATGTAAAATTTACTAATTATCACTGAAAATATGCCTGGTAGAGTTTCTTGCTGGTTCTTGGCACGACAGAAGTTTTCCACATCAGCGGTAAAAGTAAAAACTACTTTCAGTAAGCATTATTAAAATGACGTAGAATTAAAATTATACTATACTATTCTATTCTATTATTTTCTTTTTTCAGAAGTAATGGTGATAATGGTGATACAGTCCACCTGATGGTGAGTTGAATGTGTGGTCCATAGACACCCACATCAATCAATAGTCATGCAAATGCGTTCCTTTGATGGCTAAGATGAAATACCTCGTTACATGTAAAAGTGTCTCCGGTCTCTACAACCACCACATCAAACACAGCAGCATTACTCTACTATTGTTGATATTCTGTGGGGGTTTGGCACTTCTCCGGTTCGTGCTGAGCCATAATCTACATCTTCTGTGTCTATACCAAGGGGTATTGGAGTTATTTAGTTGATGGTTTTTGAACATAATACTAGAGGCAATGTTATTAATGACACTAGTATTTCCTAGTATTTAAAACACAATTTAATGTCTAGAATACTACTAGGACACCACAGTAATCAAATGGAAGATTCTAGTTCATACCTCACCTTTAGGTTTAGCCCAGTTTTGGGCTTAATCTCTATCATTTCACAATTTAAGCCAAATTGTAGTAAAGATTTGTGAAAAGTAGGGATATAAATGTGTTCATCACCATCATTGCAGCCCTTCACAGATCCACTGCTGAACATAGGCCAAGGAATGCCACAAATCAAATCAAATAAAATCAAATCCATTTATTTGCATAATACAGGTATAAAAGTTGTTACAAAGCACGGTCCTGAGCCGCCTATATCCATCGACTTCCTGTATGTCTCACCAGGTCGTCACTCCATCTAGTGGAGGACTCTCTACACTTCGTCCGCCGGTACGAGGCCACCACTCGAGAACCTTTTTTCCCCATCGGTTTTCGGTTCTTCGAGCTTATATGTCCGGCTCATTGCCACATCAGCGTACTAATCCGTTGGGATATGTCGGTCACTCTGGTTCTACTGCGGATATCCTCATTTCTAAGTTTATCATGCAGAGAACCCCGAGGATAGCCCTCTCCATAGCTCGCTGAGCAACCTTGAGTAAATGTGTTAATGTGTTACTAAAGCGAAACTAAGCCAATAAAATATTTAAAATCGTTACACTTTCAGTTGGAATAGATTTCTCTTCAGTAATGAAAATTATTCCGTGTAGTGTGGGTGTAAGATTATCCGTTAGCCCATATCGTCTCTAGGGTATCATAAGGGACAACAGAGGGAAGCAAACCAAGAGATGGGCCGCTGAGTATTCCTAGTAACAACTAAAAATAAAATACTGCCTTTATCTTATTACTCATGTAGAACTATTAGAATGGTGTTAGATATTTTTACGGGGTAGACCAACGCTGCAGCTATATTATGGTTGTAGCACGAATGGGTCTGTCCGACCGGGGAAGGACCACGCTCTCACAGAATACCAGCGTAAAATAGCAGCTTAACGCTGCTGTGTTTCGTATGGTGAGTGTAGAGGACCGTATACCCTTTTTACTGGAAACGAGGCATTCCAACGTAGTCCTCAGGGATGACAACGTATCTGCATTTTGATTCTTAACCGAAGATAAATGTATACGTCTACGGGCCACAGCATCTACTTACCTTCAGGTGGACTGTGTGCTAATTTCTCACCCCCGTTCTATAAAAAAATTGATTTCACCGCATAACTGATCGAAGGAACAAGATATAACGCGTACTGTATCCAGTAGGAGCCGCCTAAAGCCTGCCAGCCGGGTCAGGAGTTCCGCATGGACTGCAATAAATGCCTCTGCGATAACGAGGGTCAGGACTTCTCCTGCACGCGAATCGATTGCAACGCGCTCAACAATAACAACAATGGTGGAGCCAGGAGGAAAAGAGGTAAGTGACGTTTATAATATTTTAGACAACTTAAAAAAAGGAGCAGTTTCCCAATTCGAGTGTATGTTTTTTTTTTTGCAATACAAATACAAATACACATTCTTTATTTGCAAGAAAAACAGTTGACAGGGTCTTAAGTTTAAACTATTTATAATGTACATGTGTTTAGTCTGCTCGCAGACGTGCAAATATTTAGGTGCATAATACAAAAAAAAAACTATCTGTAAGTGGATCACATAAATTTTGTATTTGTCAATTATCGACCGTGGACCGTCGTGGACCAATTTTAATAATTTTTTTTATTGACTCTGTAGGATTATTATATTAACAAATACACACTTCAGGGTGGTTCCATATAAATTTAAAGAAAGTGGGAAAAAATAGGGTATAAAATTTTTAATGTAAGTTTTTTGACGACATTCGATCTTTTGATATAAGTACCTTAATTATTTTATTTTATTCTTTTTGGTTCTCATGAAGTCAGCGTTTACTTATTATAAAAAGTCTAAACTTTCCTTCTACAACCATAAAGTTTAGATATCAGCAACATAAATAAGTTTTTGAAGGTTATTTACCATCAAATGTGTCAGTATCGGTCAGTATATACTCGTACGATCCACGAGCTATACCGGTGAGCCAATAAAATCGCAAAGTTCGCCCATCGTTCAGAGCCTTACGGTGAAAGCGCCAGGGTAGCCCGCGAAATTCAAATTTTCTTACGTTTTTTGCAATTTGCAGGTCAGTGCAGGTTGCATATTTAGCAAAATATGATTCGCGATCGTAACAAGTATGTATTTACAGAATTATAATCACTCTTATCATCAATACAACCCTCTAAGTGCGTATAATCCCATTATATGACTATTTCCAGAAAAACTCATTTAAAGGGATTATATGAACTTAGAGGGTTGTATTGGCGATTTTAATGATAATAATTCTGTAAATACATACTCGTTACGGTCGCGAATCATATTTTGTTAAATATACAACCTGACCCTGACCTGCAAATTCCAAAAACGTAAGAAAATTTGAATTTCGTGGGCCAGGGAGCGGCTGGAATTAGTCCGAACAATTCCTCAGAGCACTCCTCGTGATAGATGCGATAAAATACGCAAACAGATGCAACATCTCTACGCAGTGCCAGTGTATCGAGCCGATCAGAAAGAACTCGGTCGTCGACGATTCAATCCGCTCTGCGCTGGATGCGGTCAAGTGGAAGGAGCTGGCACTGGGGTGCCCCGGCCCAGAGATTAGAACTGTATTCCATTGGGGCCGAACTTGAGCTTTGTAAAGTTGCAAGCGATGTGCCGGCATGAAATACTGTCTCGCTCTGCTGAGCACGCCAAGCTTTTTAGAGGCCAATTTGGCCTTCCCTTCCAAGTGACCACGAAACTGCACACTATTCGATATGTCGACGCCAAGGATTCCGACACTAGCTGAGGCAGCAAGGGGAGTGCCTTGAAACTGAGGAGATACGACAAAGGGGTTCTTTTTAGCGGTAAACGCGCAAACTTGTGTCTTCTGGGGATTGAACTGGACTAGATTTAGTCGCCCCCAATCCGAGACTTTGTTAAGCAAAAACTCGACTTCAGACTCAAGTTTGTCCCGGTACTCGACGACGCTTTCCCGAGAAATATTGGCACGGCCGGTATATAAAGCATCACCAGTGCTGTCGTCCGCATAGCAATGAATGTTATTATAAATGATGCGTTACAATAAAACACTGAGGCGCTGATTATTAACCCCCAAAGAAAACAGAGGGGTGTTATATTTATATGTTTGACGTGCGTATCTGTCTGTCTGTCTGATGCATCATAACGCCCCGATGAACCGATTTTGATTTAGTTTCTTTTGGTTGATAGATGACTTGATCGAAAGTGTTCTTAACTATGATTCAAGAAAATCTGTTCAACCGTTTGAAGATCAACAGTTTTTTTTTAATTTTTAATATTAGTTATTTTAGTCTTCGAGACATGTAATGTCGCGATAAATATTTCAGACACCACCGTGGAGGTGGCCGCTAACTGCACAGCGGGCAGCGTGTTCCAAAAGGAGTGCAACGTGTGTCGATGCGGCGCGGACGGTCTGCGTGCCACCTGCACCGCGCACGACTGCGACCAAGTCAAAGTGGAGCAGGGCGTCGATGCGTCCGGTAATTAGATGTACGCCACTTGTTTTCAATTCATTCGGGTTTCCTTTACTCACCATTCATTTAACATAGACCTACCAGATACACTAGATTGCCTAATGCCCAAATACTCGAAAGACACTCAATTTTAAGATGTCGTCAAGTCGCATGTGTCACAGTCACTTTGACTTAAAGTGATAGAGACAGCACTTAAAGTCAAAGTTATAAAAAATTGGCCGGGAAATTAGGAGGGAAATTTACCATAATTGCCTTAGCAGACTGGTTGACAACCGCAGTTATTTTATTATCACTCAGTTGCTATCAGAAAAGTGCTGCTGCCTATCTCCAGTTTTATTTTCCTTTTGTCGCCTCTTACGATACCTATGTGATATACGGTCTGTGTGCCACCTGCACAGCGCTCGACTGCGACCAAATCAAAGTGTAGCACGACGTCGAAGAGTCCAGTAAACGGATGTACGCCGCTTGTTTTAAATTCATTTGGGTTTCTTTCCTCACCAGTCATTCAATACGGCTTTGACGGCTCCCGGGCGCAGTGCCTTAGTAATGAGTTGTAGCGCTGGTCGCGGGTTCGAATCTCGTACGGAAGAAGTATTTGTATGGTTTACAAATAAATGTTCTGGGTCTGGATGTTCGTGCTTGTGCAATTTATGGAGGTAATGTTTATTAAAAAAACACGGCCTATGAAAAGCCCACTGAACATGGGCCTTCTCCATAGATTGCCGAAGGGACATTCGTTACAGCATAGCAGGCGGTTTGGCAACCGCAATTTTTATTATTACTGACTTGTGATGAGGAAGATGTTGCTGCCCATCTCTTGTTTAATTTTCCCTCTGTCACTTCTTACGACACTCTCGGTACGATATGGAGTAGTAGATATATTTAATCCGCCACTAGCCGCTTGGCAAGCGAGACTTCTACGTCTGAAATATGAGGTATTATGAATGATTTTTATTATTTAAATGAATTTCTACATAGATTAAAAATACTTTATCGGTCTCAGATATCGACGAGAGGAGTTTAAAAAAATATAAATAGAAAATATATTTCTTTTTGTAGTATCCACACTCGTAACGATTATAATATGTACCTACGTATAATTCACGGGTACTAAATCCTTCGGATCCATTTATTCGACATGGATGTTGTATACTTGTGGCTGTTTATATACGCGCTCGTATGTTTATTTGTTCAACTACCCGATGTGCTGACAGTACTCGTACTTATGATGTCTATGGCTTGTACTACCCAATTAAATATTTTTTTTAGATGCAGACCCTAATTTCCGTTGTAACCCCGGGGAACAGTTCAAACGCGAGTGCAACGACTGTACTTGCTCCGCCGACGGCAAGAGCGTGTTCTGTACACTACGCCTCTGTTCTATATACCAGCCCTGAGCCTACCGGAAACCGTGATCGGGCCGCACATCTAACGTAACGCGTACTGCGGTGTGACGAAACTCAATTTAGTTCATTTTCGTTGCATTTGACGACGATAAACTATTTTATGGTCATTACATCATGTGTAAAATCAATATTTAAATTTTATTTTGTGACTAATACATTCTCGTTTTATGTCATAACCACAATACTGTGTCACCTGTAACGTCTTCATATAAATCATTATTTTATCTTCTTTAAAACTGTTTTTTTCTAAATCACTTTGCATTTATTATTAAAAAAAAAATATTCTAATATTCTTTTGTTGAATGTGCAGCAAGTTTTTAGACGCAGCGGCCATATCAATAACATTAGGAAAAGATTAATCTATACGCAGGGTAATAAACAAACGTAGCAAGATCTTAAAATAAAATATAATAGTTACTGTAAAATTTGTAGGTCACTGATATTACCAAAAATGTAAAGAAGCCGGTTAAATGAACACAAAATGGGGTTCTTCGGGGTTTACAATGATAAAATATAAAATGCCTTACTAGATTAAGCTAAAGCTTATTGTATTAGTTGACATCATACACATATTTTTGCGGGATTTTGGGACATTTGTTTTGTATAATCTGTGGTCACAAAGTCGTTTAGGATTAATTTAAATGAATAACTATAACTGACAAATGCAACTTATGTTCACAAAGATTCAGTATGGGTGAGGGACTAGTATTTCGTTTAAAATAATTAATGTATATACACTGATTGTTTTGTGTGTCAACACACAAAACAATCACAGTAAAAAACATCAACGTTCCTTACGTTATAGTATATCAGTTTATTTTTTAAAAGTATATCGAAGTTACTGTCAATAGAGATATCAATGCTGCTAGACCTGAAAATGAATCATCGCCAACTACGCAGCATTCGATGTCTATTGTTGCCATAGCAATAACAATGGAGTGAGTTAAGTGACGTTAGTTAGTTCAGCTACTTTCTTAATTATTTTATTTAGTAGTAGTTTAGTTCATAATAATTATTCTTTAGCGTAGATAACGAAATAATTTTCGAAAAATATATATACACTCATTCTAAGGTCACAGTCGCAATGGTTACGTAGCCATTGGCATTATCATTTTATTATTATTGTCTAGGCTTTTTATACTGACGGCCTTGCTTTTAAAATCGTTGGTATTCACTTACTTAAATTATCGCTGTATTTATCTCTTTCTATTGCTATATAAAGATGTGAGAAAGAGCAACTTTAAGCATTATTAAGATTGACACAATTATTACGAGTAAGGCCGTGAATGTTTACAGCAATTATATGATGTAATCAGATCATTAGCCAATTTATTTTAATTATAAGAAATTAAAAGTTATTTACTATATTGATTTATTGTCAGAAAAGAGAAACACACGGTATGTACTTAGCAACTTATATTTTAGGACCGAATTTATTAATAAAAGTTCTAATAATATACTTATATAGTTGTCACTAATTGAATATTAATAACAAGTTTTTTTTTTTATTACTATTTGCGTACGACTGTGACCATTATGCAGAGTGAGTCTAAAACTTAATGCCATCTCGTGAGATTAAAAATTATTTTCCTTTCTATATTCATTTATGAAAAAGGCAGTATGGTCTACAGGCCTTCGTCATTTTTTGTTGATGACTTTAAATAATAACTATCCACATTCATTTAAAAAGATATGAAAGGATAATTTTTAATATCCTTGATGAGACTGTAGACGCATCGTACTCTAATGTATTAGACAATACGTAAATAAACTTAATATTTTGAATGTAAAATTGTCACGAAACGAATAAACGAGTTCGAATTTGATAATATGTTGTTTTATTTATATTGACGAATTTATGTTCTCCGTTGGTCGGGTATTCGTAGCCGCAGATCATCTCAAGGTTCCAAGTTCTTATCTTGCCAGAGTAACATTGTTATGTCGAGAAAATAGAACATGTCATTTGTGGTCCTCCTCGTCAGTCCTTAACCCCCTCCTTACGCCCCTCACAGTGTAACTAGACTAGACTTTTGCCTTTATCGCTACGCTTAGCAAGCGGGTTCCCGATCGAGTATCAGGTGTATTGCGCCTTACACTCTGCTTCCCGTTGCCGGCTAAAGCTAGGGTCCCACGGCCTGTTTTGTCACAGGTCAGACCGCGCCAGGCCGGACAACAGGCCGTGGGAACCATCTCATCCGATGAGGCCTGTGGTGGCCTGTTGTCGCCCGTCCGATCCATCGGGAGTCGGTAAGATCAAAGGCGCGGCGCGGCGCGGCGCGGCGCGGCGCGACGGCGCCTGTCGCGGCCTGTACGGACGCGTCTGCGTCGGTTGCAATCGTTCATTTCAACTGCGGTGGCGCTTGCGCGTACATGCTCATTATGAAATGGACGAACGAGCTTATATTCCAGTTTTTAACTCTTTATGAAAATGAACCAGCGATTTGGAATAGTTCGTCACCTCAACAAGAACGGCTTTTGTTGAATGATGACACCCACCAGCGTCGTTTTTTCTGCTTTCTTTTTGCTTGGTTTATCAAACTTTCACCACTGAATAAAACCACCGCGGCCGCACACGCAGCCATGCGCTCCGTATCACTTCACATGTTGGAATGTCAGTCGACAGGCCGCACCAGGCCGGCACACGCCGTGGGAACGCTCAGTACGGGCCGCGACAGGCCCATACAGGCGGGGCAACGCCTGGCGCGGCCTGTCGCCTGGCAGGCCGTGGGACGACGTTTTTAAAGTATAGATACGTCATACTCGCTCTAAAATGGCAATACGAAAGTTAGGTAATTGCCCGACTCGCATTCAGTCGGGCACGCTCTCGCGTCGCGACTGTACCTTCGCTACAGCGCGTAAATCTTCTAGTTATTCGTGGTAAAAATGCCTTTACAATTACAATTACAATATAGATGTTTTGTTCATAATTGGTTTTATTATTTCAACACTAACTGCTAGTGCAAACTTTGACTTTAGCTAGTGTGTTCATTTCCATATCGGTATGTCACGAGCGCGCCAATGAGCGCTCAGCAGCAATCAATACGCAACTAATGATGTATATTCATATTTTTCTAACGATATGTATGCCGTATCATTTGTCTCTTTTTGTTAGCGCAACGTGTCATAATAAATAACTGTACGTAGATATAGTACTACCTGCGCCATTTTAAAATACAATAATGTTAGCGTGTAACCCGTCTATCCTTTTTTTTATTACGTCTTTGGAGATCATATAATTACAGGGTGTGAGGCATTTCATCTTAGTGCTCGATCTTAGTGCTTAGTGTAGCGATGCATTTATGTCGCTTTAAAATACAATAATGTTAGTGTGTAACCTGTCCATCTTTTTAATACGTCTTTGGTTGCCGGTCTGTATATCTTTAACAGATTTCAAAAAGGAAGAGATACAAAAATTCGACTGTATTTTATTTTTTATTTTTTATGTGTGTTACGTCATAACTTTTTTCTAGGTGAACCGATTTTGATGATTCTTTTTTATTTGAAAGCTGGTGCTTCTCGTGTGGTCCCATATATATATATATATATATATATATATATATATGTATATATATATATATATATATATATATATATATATATATATATGTATAGTAGTTTTTAAGTTTTCCTTAATGATTTATATTGCAGTCGGTTGTACAATTTTTTTTATTTTACCATTTGTACGTCTATTGTTATGAGATGGTAATAGCATCATCTATCAGAAGCCATCAGATCTTTCTGAGATTCATTCATAGTCTCTTCTTACGGCACCCATGAGTGGAAATTGGGTAATGGAGTTACGCTGTCTCTACACGGCAAATTAGGTCGTCTCTTACGATTATAAAATAACTATTACAATTATGAACCAGCCAATTACAGTAAACCAATTAGGTAGCCTATCGTGACGATTGAATCCTTCTATGGAAGGAGCTTACCAAGACGCTTTAGCCATACTAAGGCCTGGAATTTACTAAAGAGGAGATGCGCCTTAAATAACCAATATAATTCCATTATTTACCCCTGTCTTCTCTTCTTGATTTCAGTGTATCTTCACTAATTGCTGATAAACAGTATCTTAATTAACTTCTTAATTAAACGGAGAGAAAGGAAGATGTCTATTTGTATGGCGTGACCAAAGCGGGATATGTCTGGAGTTTTAACACAAACGTCACAAAAGGCGCGATCGCAGCCTGAAATTTTTGAGTGGGTCACTAATACTAAAATATGTTGAGTAAATTGATGACGGCTCCGTGGCGCAGTGGCTTAGCAATCAGTTGTTGAGCTGGGGGCCGCGGGTTCGAATCCCGCACGGAACAAGTATTTGTATTGCCTACAAATAATTGTTCCGGGTCTGGATGTTTGTCCTCGTGCAATTTATGTTTGTAAACTGCCTCCACGACACAGGAGAAAATCCTAGTGTGGGGGTGACGTTTTATAAAAAAAGAAAGAAAGAAATTAGACTTTATTGCACAATACATCACCGGTAATGGGAGACCGGTGTTAATGGGAGACTTCAATGCAAAACTAGGTACAAGAGAGAACGGTGAGCTGAAAGTAGGGAAATTTGGAATAGGGCAACGGAACCCAAGGGGCCAGCAGCTAGCCGATTTCATGGAGAAAGAGGGACTCTTTATGATGAACTTTTTCTTCCAGAAGCGGCCCCACAGTAAGTGGACCTGATCGAGCCCCGATGGTTCGACAAAAAATGAGATTGACTTCATTATGACGACCAGACGACAACTGTTCAGTGATGTCTTCGTGATCGCGAGGGTGAAAACTGGTAGCAATCACCGAATGGTTAGAGACACACTGAACCTAAACGTTAAGTTTGAGACGTCTCGTCTAATGAAGTTGTGACGCCTCATAATTATTATTAATAAATAATAATTAAATTCATTATACAGACATTTAAAAATGTCATAGAAATTATAATTTAAACAAAAAAATGCAAATAATAAGCATAGAGTTCAAAAATATCCATTTGGAATATT